TTAAAAATTATTTTGATTGGATGATCATAAATTTGTGTAACATAACCCGTAATTCCCTAAGTGCACACCCTCTCTAAGTGCACGTTTATGGTCGGTCCCCGGGGCGTGCACTTAGGGACGAGAAAGAACGATTATTGGTTAACAAATTTACCTAATCGCAAACTCAAATGTCTGCAACATCAAACAAGCAATTTAAGTCAAGGCACTAGGACCGGAAGTTCTTTTCCCTCAGTTGAAGAAATTAAAGAGTGGGCACCTGCACAAATTGCTAGTTTCTTAGAGTCTAGAAATTTATATCTTACGAATAGTGATATCGAAATTATCAAGAAAAATAGTATCGCCGGTGAAGACTTTCTTCTCTTGAAAGAAAATAATCTCTATCGAATTGGATTACCTATTGGTCCATCCAGAAGAATAATACAGTTAATTAAGAAAATTTTGAATACTAATCTTGTACATGTATTTATTGATAATTCGAATATCTTGATTGAAGGAAAGTACACCGTTGGAAACCTCGAGCGGTTAGGTACCTTCGACTTTGACAGAAATTCCTATTACTTTAAACAGCTCCAGATCGATAATGGTAGACTTTTCACCACAGTTCAATGCAGACGCAAACTAGGTGGTGCGCCATTTTTGGTCGGTCCCGACCGCCTCCTAATGATTCATTATGGGCCCGCATTAGGGATCAAGACTTTGAGGTGAATATATTTGATCGAGACATCAGAAGCCACCGTGAAAAGAAAGGCGATACAGAACTTGTAATATCAGCAACAGAAACAATTATGTTCAATGATCCTGGTGTTTTAGTTCTGATTGCCGGTGATAGAGATTATAGACCTCTAGTAAAACAAGCACTGAAACACAATTGGACTGTGGAGACATGGTTTTGGAATTCAGGTAAGAAAATGTCATGTTCGAAACTATATGAATAATCATTAGATTGCTTAATTCGAAATACTCTGTCTTCATAGGAGTTTCTAGTCTCCTTAAGTCAGATACGAATTTTCAATCTTTGGATAATTGTTATCGTTCCTTCTCATATGGATTAGGTCCTGATCTCACTGAGAAAAACAAAGTTCTTGAGGTTACTGATGGTAATGTCATTCAAAGTTTGAAAAATGAAGATGTACTGAAATAGTTTAATACTTTAAACTTGTTCGGTTGGTGGGACTGGGTAAGTTATAGAGCTATGCGATTTTATTTTAATAATTCGAATTACATGGAGATGGTGAAAAATTGGATCCTGTATAATTATCAAGAAGTGCGGATTCAGGACAAAAATTAAGAATGGTATTCTATCTTTATGATGCAAAAGTCTTAGCATGAAATGTACTTAGAATCAGATTGTATCTGTCATGATAAGATTGCAATATATTTTCTGCTAAAATATATGGCACAATCAAATGAGTGGATTCCAATGGCATTGATAAAAATTCGGTAGTAAATTAATAATATTTGCACAACGGTTATTCTTAGCATTTTATTTGTGCTTTCTTTATAATAAAAAGTTTCATATCCTTCACTGCTTTAAAATAAGAATTTTAACGTGACTTTCATATCAATTGGCATTATTTTTATTCATAGATCGTACTTTAAATAAATCCGCATTGTTGCAGGTAGTAGTATTATACAATGTTGGCCGATGACTTGTTATGATCAATATAACTTACATGAATTGTCATTTATAAATATAGTTGGTGGTAGAATTAAGAGTACCTAGCCATGGCAAAGAATGAACTTGTCACGTGATGATCTGTAGTTAAATTAGCCAATAACGAATTTCGAATTTGATATAACATAAACAATCTAAAAAAATCAAAACAAACGTTCGGTTTTTCAAAAATCGCTTATTTCTCGAAAATTTTCATAAAAAACCGCCTTCTGTGCTTTAACAAAAAATTTGCCTCAAGGAATTTTACACTATTAAAAGAATTTGTTGATTATTATGTGACAAGTTTATTATTTTCCATGGCTAGAATTAATTATGGCTAGGCCTTTGCAAAGAAATGGACTACCTGTGGGACCCTGTGGGTAGTCCTGTAAGGACTGGATTAGGTTATTGATTTTTGGGTTTAAAGTAAGAACCAGACTTGAAATATTAAGCTTTTGTGTAGACAGGTAGATATTACTATCCAGCCCAGAATACTGATGGGTACTCATAATATATTTTGATTTGATATTTTTTCATAGCTTTTGATCATACTACTTTACACAAATCACAAAAGCATGTATGATTAGAGATAGGTTTTATGCATACATATAATTTCTCAATTATATGCATAATTCTGAATTATATATATTTTATCTTATCTAAATTTTATATAAAAAAATTAAAATATATATAATTTAGATCAGAGTATATTATATTAAGCAGAGTTAATAAATATGAATACAAATAGTTTGAAAATTCTAAAAAGAAAACAAATAAACATAAAGGATATTTAATTTTTTAAAAAGAAAATATAATAAAATTATATCATGTGATATTATTCACATTTTATATAATATACAAATATTATTATAAAATATATATTTTTCTATCTCTATATAAGATATATTAGCTTTTAAAGATTTTATTCATGATAATTTAAAATTTGGTACTTTAAGTTTACAAAGGTTTGCTTACAATCTATTTATATTTATCTTGAAAAACAGATAATCTATAAGTATTTGTGAGTTATCTATAATTTTGAGATCTAGTTAAAATTTTTTTTTTTTTTTTTGGTTTTAAGGTGACCTCTTGGTCGATTCTCTTTATTCAGTTATTAGTCAAGTTTTACCAT